CTGTCCTGGAAGAAGTGCAGCCAGAATGCTCCTTGGAAGTGAGAATGGCCAGACTTCGTCTCACCTACTTTGGTCATGTTATCAGAAGAGACCCTTCCCTGGAGAAGGACATCTTACTTTGTAAAGTGGAGGGTAAACAAAAAAGGGGAAGACCCTCAACAAAGTGGACTGACACAGTGGCTGCAATGATGGGCTCAGGTATAGCAAGGATCATGGGGCTGGCACAGGACCGGACAGTGTTTCTTTCTGCTGTACGTGAGGTTACTATGAGTCAGAGACAATTTGATGGCACCTAACAACAACATATGATCAAGGACTGATGGTACTGAAGAAATAAGTTGAAGCTGCATTGAAGGCACTGGCAAAAAAATAAGACTCTAGAAATTGACAGAATACCAGTGAAGATGTTTCAACATCCGATGCACCACAGAGGAAAGCCCTGGCAATCTATTTCCTTATAGCCTGCACCCAAGAAAACGTGGAGCAGTTCTACTCTGTAACACATGGTGTCCCACCATGAGTCAGAATCAACTCACTGGCAATGAGTGTTGGTTTTTGGACATAGTAGAAGATAAACAAGCCCAAGCATGTCTGGGCTGAGTTGGGTTAAGTAGGTAGGAAGCATCCAGGCATCCCTTTACTAGAGTGAGAAAAGAAGGGGAGGAGAGGAGGTTGCTTCCAGGATAGATGTGAGGTGGCTGTGGGAGTGGTAGACAATCCCAGTGCTCAAACCAGAGCTCTGGTAGCATAGTCCCTAAGGCACTTTGACTGCTAACCAGATGGCTCGCAGTTCAAACCCACCAGCCACTCCTCGGAAGGAAGGTTGGGGAATCTACTTCTGTAGTGATACCACCTCGGAAACTCAAAGAGGGGTCACTGTGAGTCGGGTCCAACTCAACAGCACATAACAACAACAACATCCTTAACAAGTGACCTTGAGCAGTTTACTTGACCCCAGGGTTCATATTCCTCAGTGAAATTGGGACAACAATACCACCTCTCTCTAGGATTATCATGACAATTAATATAAAATTCTTAGCACTGTACCTGCCACTCAATACATGTAATTATTGCTTCTGCTGATGTCATTACTTTTTTTTTATTATTGTTATTCTGGGTCCTGGGCACCCATGACTAGGACCTCCAGAAGGAGCAGTTGCACCAGAACCTGCAGGGGATTGTGATTGGGCTACATTCAGAGCTGCCCAGCTGGCAGCCTGTGAACCTGATTCACCTCCAGGACCTTGTGTTTGGCAAAACCTGTTCAAAAACATTTTCAACTGCTGTTAGGTGGAGAATGCAGACCCCATTCTCCCCATCATGTCCTGGAAGGCTGCTGCCTCACACACTTTGACCCTGTCTGCTCTGCCAGGCTCCGCAGGTCTTGGAAGCCCAAGAAATAGCATCCTGACTGGAAATGAGCATCTCCCAGATGCCCTAGCACAGAGATGGTTTGAGGGTGGTGGATGCCAACTCTGGGGCCAGAGCAGGACACAAGGACTATGGGCAAGCCCATGTGAGACTTACCCAGGGATTATGCCTGGATCTAACTGTAGACACTTTGAGAAGGGCCTATGAGTCTAATGTTAAACAGTTAGTGGTGGAAAGCAGTGGAATGTCAGGCATCACTGTTAATATGACTTTGTGTGTGTCCACACCCCATGAGGATGCATATCCCTGTAGGGTTGTTGGAGGGTAAGAAATGATGGCTGTGAAGTGGCTTTCATAGGACCTGGCCAACAATAGGATGTCAGTGGTCATCAATAGATGAAGATCCTTTCTCTTAATCCCACTGTGCCAGCCCCCACCTGGGGTCAGGGAATGCTGTGGGTGGTCGGATAGCAGAGTCTTACCTGGAAAGACCTCTCTGATGAGATTGGTCAGGCGTTCCACAATTTCTAGCACAGCAGCCTCTCCCAACTTCTCATTGGGCACATGAGGTGTGTCATCCCTGTAAAACACCACCAGAACAGTTTGGTGCAGGGAACTTGAGGAGAGGCGAAAGGAAAAGGAAGAGAAAGCTCTGCAGTAAAAGAAAGCCTGTGGGACAGGTCCTCAGCTGTCCATTAAGGGAAAATGGCTAGGCTGGAGGTAGGAGTCAGGACAGAGTTCAAATCCAGGCTTTGCCGTTTAGCTGTTATTGTTCCTTGACTTGGTTGTTTAACCTCTCTGAGCCTCTATTTGTTCATCTGTGAAATGGGGATAATAACAGTACCTACTCTTAGAATTTTTTTGAGTATAATAAAGGGGACTACAGGAAAATAAAATCTGCTGCAAAAGACCTCTTTAAAATGTTAAAGAGCAAAGGTGTGACTTTGAAGACTAAGGTGCACCTGACCCAAGTTTGGGTCTTTTCAAAAGCTTCATATGCATTTGAGAACTGGACAGTGAATAAGGAAGAACTCAGAAGAATTGATGCATTTGAATTATGGTTTTGGCGAAGAATATTGAATGTACCATAGACTGCTAGAGAAACAAACAAATCGATCTTAGAGGATGTACAGCCAGAATGTTCCTCAGTGAAAATGGCTGGACTCATACTTTGGTCATGTGGTCAGTAGAGACCAGTTCCTGGAGAAGGGTATCATGCTTGGTAAAGTAGAGAGTGAGTAAAAAGAAAAAGATGCTCAGTGAGCTGGATTGACATAGTGGCTGCAATAATGGGCTCAAACAGCAGAGATTGTGAGGATGACATAGAACTGGCAGTATTCCATTCTGTTGTATGTAAGATCACTGTGACTTGGAATCGACTTGACAGCCCCTAACAACAACAACAACACTTTCTTCCCCTCCCTGCATTGGGATCTTAGGGATCGGAGTCCCTACACCCTAGAAGGAGTGGCTCTGATGTTCATCCCACAGCTTACAGTCCAGTTCACCAGATGCTCAGACATGCCTTGACAGGGTCCCCAGCCTCAGTGGGAGCTGTGTTCTGAGGCCAGGGGACACAGAGGTTGCGGAGAGACTGGAATCATCCAGACCCAGGCTTGGGCAAGTGACTTAACTCCTTTGAGCTTCAGGTTCCTCATCTCAGACATAGGGCTGATGGAGGAATTAAAAGAGATAATGTGGGTAGAGGGCATGGCTGGCACATGGCATGCAGAAAGTGTTCAGCAGAGGGTATGTGCTGATGTGAGTGTTCTCACCCGGTCCAGAGGATGAAGTCTGGGTCTGGTAGGATCTTCTTCATGGCATAGATGGAGGAGTTGATGAGGGCCCAAGGAGAGTCACAGAGGTAGTTACCCCAGGGGCCCGCATTGGACACGTTCTGGGAGCCAGCTGATGGGCACACCTGGAGAGGGTCTTCAGATACGGTGTAGTTGGGGTCAAGGTGCAGGTCAGAGATGTGCCAGAATTTTCCTGCAGAGGAAGAGAGACCCTCCCTCAGTGCAAGTGCCACCCTGACCCTGGCTAGGGAGAAGATCAGGGGAACCTGGGTAGTAGGAGTGGGAAACTTTCTCAGATAGAATGAAACCAACACTGGGCACCCAAGGCAAGAAGAAGAAGGGCCCATGTGTGTGGCTTTAACCAGGGAGGCACTGAGCATAGCAAAAGGAGCCCAACCTGAGCTCCACCCCTGACCTCCTCTATGACCTTTGGAGAGGTCCTTTCCATCTCTGCACCACACCAGCAGCATGAAGGTTGTGTGATTCTTTAGGACCCTTTAGGGTCCAGCATTCTAGGCAGAGCCTTTATTTTAAAGCAAAAGAGTGTGGGAGTTCAGAGCCCAGGCTCTAGAGTCACGTACTAGCTGGGTGAACTTGGGCAAGTTAATTTACCTCTCTGGGCCCATAACTAAAGTCACATCCTATTCTGTCCCAGGGAGGTAAGTCCAAAACTCTGACCTGGGAGGAGAAGTCTTCTACACCAAATGAGTTGTAAGATCTTGTTCATTCATACCAACGAAAAAAATGGGGATACATTTGGGAACAATGTCTAAGTGTTCTAGACCAGAGAAGAGAAAACATACTTTCAGAATGGGCTAACTTTTTCATATGAGCATCCTTGCTAGGATTCTGGATTCAGGTGGCAGCTCCAGCAGCTGGCAGTGGTCCTACTTGCTAAAGTGGTTGAGTGGCCACCACTCTAACCTAAGTGAGGCTGAGATGCCAAAAACCTCTTGGTGTGATACAGAGAAGGGAATCCAGAGCAGCGGGTGAGATGGAGCGGACATGGCCCCAGCACAGCACTTGGCACAAGTCGTTTCAGTGATTGCATATAGAAGGCGAGTTGAACAGGTTTGACCTCTGCCCTAAACCCTACGTTTCTGGGTAAGACAAGGGTGAGGCCAGACCCTGGGATTTCCTCACCCTTCACCACTGCTGTCACTTCCTTCTCCTTTCCTGTGTCAGTCAGAGCCAGTATCAACCCCACTTTCCCCCACCAGGAAGCTGGGCCAGGGCCAGGGAGTCGGCTGCTTCTGTAGCTTTCAGGGTGTGGCTAGCCAGGGGCCCCACCCAAGCCATGGACATTCAACAGGCTCTAGGACAGGCCCACGAGTGCTCTTAAGCTTTTGCCCACTTCCTCATCAGGAAAGGAGTTGAAACTTGTTCACACTAAGGTACAAACAACCGATAAAGCATATCATTCTCTCTGCCATGTGCATTGCACAATCATCCTCACCACAGCACTAAGAGGCAGTTATTGATCATTATCCCCATTTTATAGATAAGAGAACTGAGGTTCAGAGGTCACCATACCTGAGATCACAGGGTAAATGGGTGGGGATCCTCTCTTTGGCTCTAGATTTCCTTCCTGGGAGATGTAATTTCTAAGGGAGTAAAACCAATGTCTCTCTATTTTAGATATGTCTCTTATAGACAGAATATGCTGCATTTTTTATTTTTCACCCAAACTGAGAGTCTTTGTCTATAATGGAGGAATGTAACCTACTCATGAATATATTTGAAGATAGATGTTGTTGTTGTTGTTATGTGCTGTCAAGTTGAACCTGACTCATAGTGACCCCTCTTGGGTTTCTGAGGTGGTTATCGCTACAGAAGTAGATTGCCCAACCTTCCTTCCGAAGAGTGGATGGTGGGTTTGAACTGCCAGTCTTCTGGTTAGCAGTCAAGTGCCTTAGGCACTATGCTACCAAGCTCCCTTGAAGATAGATACAAATATATAAAATATATTTAAAGGAGTACAACCTTTATAGGCTTTAAAGGACAAGTGTACAAAGCTCTAACTGCCTTATTTCAATTAGTAAGTGGCCAGTGTTTGTGGACTTTCCCAACAAGCTGTGGGAGTTACACCTGCTTCTAAGCCTAAGGCCAGGCTGGCCAGGCTGGATGGCGTGAGAACCCTTCTCTCTGGGCGTGTGATCCCCTCTCTTCCTCTGAAGACCGTGGTGGAGACCATTCCCCTGCCTCAAGCAGGCCGTCTCAAGTAACCCCAAAGCTTAAGTGGTTCAGCCCCTTGGACTTGAGCCATCAAAGTATTTCACAAGCATTTCTCCACTTCAGAAACTCCTCATCTGATGATGGAAGCTCAAATGTCAGTTGTCAGCTTGTTTCTTCCTAGAAGGAAGCCAGTGGGTGAAACTGACACTCTTTCCAGCCGTCCTGGCACTTCCTCGTGGCTGAGGCAGGTGTGTGTGTGCCTCCGCAGGCTGGACTCGAGAAGAGGCCAGGATGGTGGAAAGCACAGGAGAAGCGCAGAGCCCCAGGCAAGTGGCTCCACTTCTCTGGGTTCCTTTCTCCTCATTGCTGCTCTGTACTGACTCCCCCAGTCCAGCCACAGTTTACATGCCCCACAGGGCTCTAACCTTATAGACAGTTTTCCCCTGGTCATCATGTGGCCATTTCCTTCTCTTCATCCAGAATTCAGCCCAAAGACGCCTCCTCAAAGAAACCTTCCCTGATCACCTCTCCTCAAGTGGCACTAATCTGCCCCTCTAGCTATTACCTCCCCATTTTATTTTCTTCAGGGTACTATCACATAGGAAATTATCTTGTTTGCTTGCTTGTTTATCATCTATTCCCTGAGAGCACAAAGTCTGTCTTGTTTACCCCTGTATCCTCAGCACCGGGAAGAGTGCCTGGGATGTGGAAGAGGCACAAATATGCATTAAATGAATGAACAAGGCTATAGGGAGGATGATAAATACTCAAAGAATGTTAGCTAGGTCCTCACCTATTCTGTGAGATGGGTATTCTGAGACTTTTTTCAGCCATTCTGTGAGATTGGGATTCTGGAACTCAAACCCAGACCTCTCTGACTCCAAAGCTGGGACACAGTGTTGTCTGTTGACTTGGAGCCTCAGAAAGTAGCCATTACAGTACTCATATGTTACCCATAAGAGAATGGGAGCCACAGGTTTCTATGGAATTGATCACGGATTGTGAGGGCCCAAGCCTCATGCCAAAGGAATTAAGCTTTACTTAGCATGCCGTGAAGAAGAAGTGGGCAGAAGGACCTGGTTGGGGAGGTGGGATGTTGGTTTCTAATCTGTGCTCTTCCATTTGTTGGCTAAGGGACATTGATTGGGCAGGTCACTTGGCCTTGCTGAATCTGAGAGTATTTGACATCTGAACTCCCTCTTCCATGAGCATCAAAGAAGACAGTGAATGAGGAAGGACTTGTAGAGAAGAATCTAGACACCAGACTGTTACCAGCAATTACTCCTGGGACCAGGACTGAGTCCAGGAGGTGCGGAGAAGGGGCACTTTAACACTTTGCTATTTACACTGTGCCAATCCCTCACCTGGGGATCTTGTTGAAATGAAGAGTCTGATTCCCTAGGTCTGGATTGGAGCCTGAGAGTCTTCATTTCTAAGAAGCTCCCAGACGGTGCCATGTTGCTGGTCCACAGACCACAATTTGAAAATCAAGGTTTTATATATTTGAATTGCTTGAATCTGTTATAGTAAGAACACACAGCACAAACACACTGCCCTTGAGTGGGACCCGACTCATTGCAACCCCTCCTTGGCTTTATGAGGCGTTATCACTACAGAAATAGATTGTCCAACCTTCCTTCCGGGAAGTGGCTGGTGGGTTTGAACCGCCAGCCTTCTAGTTAGCAGTCAAATGCCTTAGGCACTATGTCACCAGAGCTCCCTTTTTAGTAAGAAAGTGTTCAAGTATTAAGTTTATTATAAAGGTATACCAATCTCAGCTGTCATTAAAAAAAAAAAAAAAAAACACTTCCCTCAAGTTGATTCTGATTCACAGCAACCCTATAGACAGAGTAGAACTGCCCCAGATGGTTCCCAAGATTGTAAATCTTTATGGAAGCAGATCACCTCATCTTTCTCATAGAGGAGTTAGTGGATTCAAACCTCTGACCTTGAGGTTCGAACCTCAGCTGAATGCCTTAACCACTGCACTGCCAGAGCTCCATTCCAAGACACCAACCTGACTGCCATCAAATCAATTCCAACTTATAGCAACGCCCGTTGGTTTCCAAGGAGGTCAATCTTTACAGAAGTAGATTGCCCCATCATAGGATAAATATTGTATTAGTTCATTATTGTAAAAAGTCAAGGAAAGGTTTATATATGGAAGGAAACTCTCTTTGTTGGTTACCAAGGGTGGGAGGGGAGAGAAGGGAACACTGCTAGATACTTAATTTAAAAAAGAAAAAGAAAAAACAAAAAAAGGAAGTAGATTGCCCCATCTTCCTTCCAGGAGTGCCTGGTGAGTTTGAACCGCCAACCTTCTGGTTAACAAATGTCTTAGGCACTGTGCCACCAGAACTCCATTGGTATTCATTAATTATTTTAAAATAAATTAAGTTGATATCAAGTTCAGTGTAGTAGGCCCAGACCTGGGTTGAAGTTCCAGCTCCACCCAGCACTAGGACCACTAGCTGTGTGAAGGAACATAAGGAACTTAACTCAGTGTCTCAGTTTCCTTTCCTGGATAGTAAGGTAGGGACAACAGCACCCCCTACCTTCTGAGGTCTAGATTAAATGAGAATATGTTACTGAAGTTTGCTGCCATGGAGCCCACCAACTTATGGCAGCCCCAAGAAGAACAGAATTAAATGCTGTCCAGTCCTGCACTATCCTCATGATTGGCTGAGCGGAGCTTTCAGACGAAAATGGACTAGGAATAATGCATGCACTCTCAGTAAATGCAAAGTAGCAGTTCCTCCACCATTTGGTCTCTGGTGGGTCCTGGAAGTCCCCATTTCACTGCCAAAGGGTAACATGAGGTCAGTGGAATGCAGGCGGGAGTGGGTGTGGCCTTCTCCACTGGCTCCAGACTCCCCTTCTCTGCTCTCCTGGGCAGGCTAAATGCCAGCAAGTACCAGGAGGCCAACCTGCTTTGTTAAGTGGAAAGCCGCTGGGCATAGTGCACCCTCTAGTTTAGTTTTGAGAGCTCAGCTTTGTTCTCCATCCCTGGCAAAATGGGCACCTCACTCTCCTCCTCCTTTTGACCGTTGCAGGTGATAAATATATACGCCCTGGCAGCTTTGCAAGGCCCATGGAAATGTGTGAGACCTGAAAGGAACCAAAAAAAAAAAAAAAAACATGCATACACACACACACACATGCATCTACACCAAAAGTTCAGGAAGAAACTATGCCATCAAAATCAGTAATTCATTTCAAAAGCAATATGAAAATTTCATATAATGTATGAATGGGATCTGTTTACTATGATTTGTGATGAGATTCTGAAAACTCATTCCTGGAGCCTCAGAAAGGAACCCTCGTAGCCCAGTGGTTAAACTCTTGGCTACCAGCCAAAAGGGTGGCAGTTTGAACTTCCCCAGCAGCTCTTCAGGAGAACCACCTGGCAGTCTGCTTCTGTAAACATTCCAAAGCAAAAACAACAACCAAACCCACTGCCATCAAGTGGATTCTGACTCACAGTGACCCTATTGAACAGAGTAAAATTGCCCCATGAGGTTTCCAAGGCTGTAAATCTTGCAGAAGCAGGCTGCTGCATCTTTCTTCCACGGAGAGGCTAGTGGGTTCCAACCACCAAACCACAACGTTTTGGGTGGCAGACAAGTGCTTAACTGTAGAGTTGCTGTGAGTCCAAACCTACTTACTGACAGGCACCTAACAACAGAGCCTAACAGGGTCTTAAAATGGCCACAGGGTGAGTGTCTATGGTCAGAGACAAGAAAAGGAAAGCATCTGCCACTTAACACCTATTGAATGCCAACCACCCTACCCATGCAGCCCACACATGATGAAGCATATTCTATTAATGTACCCATTTTACAGATGACGAAACTGAGTGAGTGGTAGACTGGGATTCATATTGTATCAGAACTGAAATGTTCACAGTGCACTTTACTCTGCCACTATTAGCTAGCAGTGTAACGTTGAAAATTAAAAAAAAAAAAAAGGCCTCTTAAATGTTATAGCACTTTACAATGTACGTGCCTTATCTCACTTGACTATAATGTTTAATCTCTCCTTTGCTTTTATCCCTATTTTATAGATTATGACATAGAGGCTCAAGGTCACATAAGTGTATAAAGGCAGAACCAGAGGGAGGATCT